GTAATCGCTGCAGATCGATAAATAATGAGTAATCGATTATTAATTATTGATAAGAATCAATTATTAATTGTAATTAATTACTCATTGTCTATTGATCTGTAGCGATTATAATCAATTGTAATCATTTACAATCGATTACAATTGATTAATTAAAATCAATAATCATTGATTATAGATGTTTACTGATTCTAAACAAAAAATTGATTATATTCAATTTTAATAATCATCAATTATATCTGATTGCAATCGATTATAATTGATTATTAACAATTAATGATAATTAATTATTAGATAATAATCAATTATAATCAGATATAAAAATTTCTTAATGTATTCATTCACTCATTTATTTACTTGTTTATTTATTTGTTCACTCACTTGTTTGTTTATTCATTCACTTGTTTATTTGCTTGTTTCACATAATTGGATTTTTTCAATAAGATATAAGATATTTATGATTTAATAATATTAAGTATGAATGATTCAGTATAATATTTAATCAAAATTTGTTATACAATAATAAGAAAAAGCAAAAAAAAAGAAAATAATAGTATAAATATAATTATAAATAATTATAATAAATAATTTAAGAAATAAAAAAATAATTGTAACAAATGTGAAAAAGAAAAAAATATAAATATAAAAATAATTAATTAAATAATAAAATTAAAGATAAAAATAAGTATAATAAGAGTATAAATGAAATAAACCAATAATAAAAATATAAATTTTAGAGTGAAAAATATAAAAATAAATAAATTTAGTAAAATAGTAAAAGAAAATAAAACAAAAATATAATTATTATTAGATATTAAAAAGATAATAATATATATTAAATATAATTATATAATAGAATACAATATAAAAATAAAGAAACAAATTAATTTAATTATTATTGAGTTATATTATGTTACATTAATTTACTTTGTAATACATTTTAATTTTTATTGATTAAAAATTAAGTAATTATGAAATTTTTGATGAAAATGGTAACAGTAATTAAATTAATAAGAGTTATTAACTAAAAATAAAAGATATTGATATTTCTATACTTGTAAATATATATTCTAATATTTTCAATACCAACAAGAAAATAAAATACTTATATTTAAATCAAATTTTTTAATCAAAAATTAAAATATCATAAATATTTAATTCAAAAAAATATATTTTGTCTTTTTAAAGTTTAAAGTTTCAATAAATAATTAATTAAAAATTCAATTCTAAACAAATCAATATTCAGTTTCTTGATCTTATTCAAAATTTATGAAAAGCAACTTGAATGATAAAATTTAAAGTTTAATTAAACAAATTATTTTAGTTAAATAACTCTTTTTAACAGAATAAAAATAAAAAATAAATATTAATAATAAAATAACAAGATATAATTAGTTAATTTATTAGAATAAAAATAAAATTTATTAATTTGTTCAAAGTATCAAAATATAAGAGAGTATATATTAAAATAGTACTCTTATTTATATAAAAATTCTTAATATATTTTGATACTATCTATATTATAAAATATTATAGAAAAGATAAAAAAAGATATATATAATATGAATAAATAAAGATAAAAAAAGTTAGAAAAAATTAGAAAAATTAGAAAAAAATAAAAATTATTAAACTAAAAATGATAATCTATATAATTATTAAATGATAATTATATAAATTATTTTTATTAATTTGATATTTTTTTATTATTTTTAGAAATTTTTTTATTATTTTTAAAAATTTTATTAACTAAGAAATTTTTGAAAATAAATATAACAATATATATATCAATTATTAATATAGTTTCTTTTATTGTAAAAGTTTATATTATTTTTTTTGAGTAAAATATTATCTCTAAGATTTTTTTAACCTTAATAATATTATTTTTATATATTTTTATATATTAATAATATTCCAAAAATATTTTTCTTTATTGCTTTAATAATATTACAAATTATTATAATATTAATAATTATATTATTTATTAACAAGCAAAAAAATATATCAAAGAAGATATCTATTACAAAAACAATATTCTTGCAAAAATCTGTAAGAAACTTAAATAAAAATTCAATTATAAATATAAATAAAATAATCAAAAATTAGAAAATAATAATATATTTCCTATTATAAACTTTTTATTATGCTTAATATTGTTTTTAATTTATTATTTTGAATTAAATTTTTTATGAACAAAGCTCAATATCTTTAATATATATTAGAATAATAGTGTTAATATATAAATATAATACTTAAACTTGTATAGCTTTTTTATTAAGTTATTTTTGTAATAATAAAAGAATTATTTATTATAAATTTACTTTAATAAATTATCTGATTAAATATGCTATTATAATTAGATTTCTAATAGAAGTTATTATAATATAAATATTTAACCAATATTTTTTAAATTAAGCTTCAAATATAATTAATTTCAATAATTTAATTACTTTAAGATTATTGTACAATATGTCTTTTTCTATTTTATAAATAAGTTCTTATTATTACTAATAAATTATAATATTTACTTAATATAAAACAATTTTATAATAATATATTATAACAATTTTAATTGATATTCAATAATATATAATTAATATAAGTAAATTATTAATAATAAACAAAAAATAATTTATTAATTAACTAGATTTTTGTATTAATTAATTAATATCTTTTTTAAAATTTCAATTATATTTTACTTATAATGAATATTTTTTATTAATTAATATTATATTTAGAGTAAATATAGTAAAAATAATATATATAATAAATATAATAAGTATAATATAAATAATAGATTAAGTATTTTTGATAATATAAGTAAGTATTATAATTATAATATTCATAAAATATTAAAAATATTTTTATTAAAATATTAAAAATTTAAGGAATTATAAAATTATAAAATTATAAATGAAATTATAAAATTATAAAATTTTATTTGTAATCATAGTGATAGATTGCTTAATATTTTGATAATAATAATTTGTTTATTCTATAAAATATAACTTTTTACAAAAATTACAAAACTAAAAAATAGAAATTATTATTATCATTTATAGTAAACTTTAAAATTAATAACTTTTTTCATGCAATTTTATAATCATTTTTTTGTATGAAGTTAATAGTTTATTTTCATATATTCATAACTAAATTAAAACAAATCTCAATTAAATTAATATTATTTCTAATATTTAATAATACTACTAGTATTAAACTCAATATATAACTCAAGAATTATTAATGAATAATAAAGTATATTATTTAAAGAAGGAATAAATTAGTATTCCTATTTCTCCCTCAAATAAAATATTTTTTAAAGAAAATAATGCTCTTAAAGATATTTCTATACAAAATTTATTAATTAAAATATTAATTAAAGAAGTAAAATTTGATAATATTATCACTTTATATTTATCTGAGATTTTTTTGTTAATTAATGGTAATATTATTGAAAAAACAGATAATATTAATAATAAATTGAACTATGTTAATAATAAATTAGAAATTTAAAGCTTATCTTCTTCATTAGTTGAAAAATCTACTAATAAATATTTGTGAATTATGCTTAGTCAATAATTAGATTTAGAAAAATCTAATAAATCAATTAAAAGAAAACATATATATTAATATTTTAAATTAAAGTGAAAAAAATTATTATAATTCAAATATTCTATAATATAGTTATTTTATTGATAATTAATTATTTTTATGATATTTAATATTTTTAATATAATTTGGTACAAAAATGTTAATATATTATTTTGCTATTAATAAAAAATTTTTTTACTTTTAAAATTTTAATTTTTTTATCAAATATAATATTTAGATTATAATTAATAAATTTATATAATTTTTTTATTATATATAAACAAAAATAAAAAAATTTTATTAATTAATAATTTTTATAAATTTATATAATAAAAATAATCAAATTTTTAGCTTTAAAGCTTAATTTCTCAATAACTGGTAATTCGATTTTGCTAAAACAAAATATATATTTATTATATATATTTGCTTAATACAAATTTATAAAATTGCATATTTATAGAAAAAATATTAAAAATTTATTTTTTTTAAAAAATTCAAAAAGTTTAGTCTTATCTAAAATTTTATTAAAAGATAATAAAATAATAAAAATATACAAATAATTAGATTAAAACATATTTTTAATAATATAAAAAAATATAAACTTTTAATTAATAAATTTTATAATTATAATTAAAAACAGTTTTACTTTTACTTTTTGGTATATCAATCTTTTTGCACTGGACCATAATTAAAAATAGGCGTAATGACTATTTTATATCTGTGAAGCAATTAATATAATAAGTCATAATGAAAAATGAAAATTTAGTCAGATCATGCGGATTATTTAGCCAGAATTATCGACAATTTCTTATATTAATTTTGCAATAATGTTTACATCATAATCCCTCATATTAGTAGCCTAGCCATGGCAAAAAAAAAGGTGTCGGATCATGTAATTTAAAATAGATCCATTAAAATATCCGATTAAAATTAAATATTAAGTATGAGTTAGAATTAGATTTGAGATCAAGGTTATATATAAAATTGGCTTCTCGATATTTTTTGATAATGCGTCAAGCTAGATTAGATATCTGTTTGCCGAGTTGATCAAAAATTTACTACATTCCTATTGGTTGCGCAGAAATTTTGCGCGTTCTTATTGGTTGGATTGGTTTATCATCACGTGATCCGACATCTTTTTTTGCCATGGCTAGGGTCAGTGTTGTCACTTGGACGTAAATTGCTGGATTCACGTCCAATGGCTAGGGTACTTCCCCCACATTCAATAATTTCAGAAATATCGTCCCGTGATACATGTACATGTAATAAAAATAACGCGTGTGAATATTTAAGAGGTAGATCAATCACGCGAAAAAAGTGTTTAAAAGAAGATATATCTTTCTATAAGACTCTATCCAGTATCAATTGAACAAGAACACTTTACCAGTTACTTTCAAATAAAAAAAACTTGCGAAATGGAGGAAGAAAGGGATAGGAAAATTAAACAAGATTTGGATCTAAAAATCAAAGCAGCGGTAAGTATAGATTAATTCCTTTATATTATTTTTATTTCATAATAAAAACCATTCAAATTGACGATTCATTTTATTTCTAATCACCAATAAAGCTTGCATTAGGTCAAATGTGCCCTAACGTCGTAAATAAAGCTGCTCTCGCTACTCTTGCTGATTTTCAGTCAAATCCTCGAACAAAAGAAGCGATGCATCGTCGTTATCTCGGCAACAAAGCTTTAACAAGTGGCGACTACAAAACAGCATATTGTGAATATTCAATGGGAATTGTAAATAATCCTGATGACCCAGCTCTATGGTGTAATCGGTCCCTGGCATATCTTAAACTAGGGCATCCAGAGCTTACCGTCGTCGACTCTAAACGCGCAATTGAAGTGATGGATAAATATATTGATGACAGCAGAAATAAGAAACCTGGACTTAAAATGCCGCTTATTACTAAAGATAATGATGGTTTGACACTGGGCCAAAAATTAAGTCAGCTTCGACTCAAAGCCAATTTTCGCGCGAGTCAGGCGCTGGCGAATCTGGAACTTTTCCCGGATGCGATCGATTCCTGCGAATGGTTGCTAGGAGTCATAGATCAAGTTAAAGGTGTTCCTTTTAATTGGACTGATGTGCGAAAATTACTCGAGGAATGTAAAAAGAGATTGGAGGATGGACGTAAGAAACATGGACCGAACTATGTAGATCGCGTTGAAAATTATGGGAAATATACGTTTCGTGGAAAATATTGGTGGGATGCAAGACAAGAGAATAGAATGTCAGAGGGAATATTTCAAAATTTAGCACGGAAAATTTCCGAAATCTCTTCAAAGGTCAAAGTGGCCAAAGTTACTTTTGAGGAATGGGGAAACGAATATCATTATGGCATAAAAGCGACATCCAATATCTCGGAAAATACATTGATACTTGAAGAAGTACCATTCCTTTGTGTCAATTCTGGGTTCACGAAACGATGCGACTACTGTAATTACGAAGTCAAGAAAAAAGTCAAATATATCTGCCCAAAAACAGGTTGCAAAGAAACATATTGTAATATTCAATGCTATCAACAGGCATATAATCTGTATCATAAAGTTATGTGTGGAAAAGATTTCAGCGAAATTTACAAAATTGTAAAGACCGGAGTATCAACCTCCTCGCTATCTCACCTCTTCGCAATCAAACTTTTCGCAATCGGCAAAAATCGCGATATCTGTCCATTAGATATCGAAGAAATCAAGCACCTACGACGTTGGGCAAACGCGTACAGTACTATGCCTGTAGTATTCTTTAAGTTCTATAAAATAATAATAAAAAATCTAGAAATTCCAATTGGTGACCTTCGCTTCGACTTCTGGGTTTATATTTCCTGCATGAGTACCCTCGGCAACAACTTGTTTGGTGATAAAGATAATCAATCTCGTCCTGATACCTCGGTATTATTACCATTGATAAGTCTCATCAATCATGATTGTGAACCGAATGCTCATCCGACTGTTGAATTGAATAATCGTAAATGGGGATTAGAGGCTAAGCGAAACATCAAAAAAGGGGAACCAATCACTGTTTCTTATGTCAATTGGCCGAATATGGATGATGAGGAACGTTGTAAAAGGTTGTTTATCCAACACGGTATCAAGTGTAAATGCAAAAAGTGCTCCCCTTTTTCTAAATTAATTGAATCATATGAGAAAAGTGAAGGTGTCGTAGCCAATACTTAGATGGGGAACTGCGTGATTTTATATATACATGTATGTCACAATTCTTTTAGATACAGATATGAGGTTTTACATGCATGTATAACAACTACGTATGCAAATTTTCTTTAGTTGTTTTATTTAGTATCTCTGATGCAAATCACACGGAGCTATGAAAATACGTAATGTGTCCATCAATGTCACCAAACAATAATGGGAACTGTGTCTAAATTTCAACTAAAGTTATTAAACGATATTGCTGGTCTCTTAGAAGATAGTAACACTTGTGACCTAGTTATTCGTGTTGGCGAACAGAAAAAAGAATTTCAAGCACACTCCGGCATTTTGTCCGCCCGTTCACGTTATTTTCGCACCGCATTTTCTCCACATTGGGCGAGAGAACATGATGGAAAATTTATACTTGAGAAGCCTAATGTTTCACCCGAAACTTTTGAAATCATTTTAAAGTAAAATCTTTATGTAAAATAAAAGAAATCTTGTGATTTGAAAGTTTGATATAAATTTTATTATTTTTATTATTGTAGATTTTTGTATAGTGGTAGAATTGAATTGAATCAACACGAAGGCACGGAAATTCTAAAATTGCTCGTCGCTGTTGATGAATTACAATTGGATGATTTATTGGCATATATTCAAAACTATTTGATCGAAAAGAAAACTGAATGGATCTGTGAAGATCCAGTAAAAATTCTAGAAGTTGTATTTTGCCATCAAGCATGCGACAGCCTACGCGATTTTTGCCTCGAAAAGATTGGTGAACAGCAGTCAATCTTCAAATCCGATGGTTTTCCTTCATTGAATGAAGCAATTATAAAATTAGTTTTGGAACGTGATGATTTCGGAGTTGAAGAAATTGAAATCTGGGAAAATCTTATTAAATGGGGGATTGCACAACATTCCAACCTCGCTGATGATATTTCAAGATGGTCAAAACAAGATTTTTCAAATGTGAAGAATACATTGCAACAGCTTGTTCCATTGATTAGATGGGGTTTTGTTGATTCACGCCATTTTCGAGAAAAAGTTGCACCATATAAAAAAATTTTTCCTAAAGAGCTCTACGAGAATTTAATTGATCATTACTTGGATCCAAATATTCCGATACAATCAACTTCAGCTCAAGTTCCACGTTCAATTATTTCCACAATCGTTGATTTCAAAATTGCTGCTGTAGTGATTGCAAATTGGATTGATAATCTAGGTTCAAATAATGAAAGACGAAATCCTTACAGATTTGTACTTTTATTCCGTGCAAGCAGAGATGGATTTTCTGGTGTGAAATTTCATCAAAAATGTGATAATAAAGGGGCAACGGTCGTTTTTGCTAAGCTCAAATCTAAAGAAATGATACTTGGAGGCTATAATCCAGGCGACTGGACTAACGATTGTCAATGGCACCATTCTAATAGAACTTTCTTATTCTCAGTTCAAAATTCGAAAAACATTGCATCAGCACAAATCGGTCTTATTAATAGCTATTATGGTAGAGCAACTTCGCATATTCGAACTTGTGGACCAGGATTTGGGTCTGATTTTCATATCGATAGAACTGATAATTTGTATCACAGACCAGATTCTTACCCTAATGTTTTCAATATCGGAGATGAAAATCCACAAAAATTACAAGAATATGAAGTTTTCCAGGTCTTAAACAAATAAATTATAACAGGCAAGCGATAAAAGATTGAAAAATGTTCATTAACACTTATTTTCGCATGTTTTCTTTGCGCTGTTGAAAAGTGAAACTTTAGTTACTACGTCACCGTCCGAAATTTTTAAACTGGTAGCATAATCAAGCTAAATATATCATCAGCTGTTTCAGTAACTTTATACTTTGAATTCATAGCAGTGAGAATTAGTGACGTGTGACAGCTCGCAAAATTAGGTTTGAGATTCTTCTAAAATGACATTCCACAAGAGACAGATACCAAATTTTGTTCAACTTATAAAAACCTGGTAGCATACCTTGTGTTACGACAGAAGTGAAGTTAGCTTTTGGAGATAATTTTAGAGTACTTTACAAAATCTGTGACCGATAGATAATGGATGCAAATAAAAATTTTCGGCTTGGAATAAAATTGTTACCGTATCTGTGCTTTAGCAATCTGAAAAATATCAAATTTTCAATTTAAAAAAATTGATCAAATTCCTCATTCTTTATAAATCCTGAATTAGAATTATCAACACTAGCATGATTACGATCATCCGAAAAATGCCTATTCAATAAAGTGATATCATCCACACTCTCTTCATCCACCAAAAAACTAGCCTCAATGACACTCATATCAATATCCATATCCATATTATCAGCACCATCATCGCTAAAAATCCCCTCGGGCGGCGGACTGCTCTCCTTAATCACAATCTTCTCCGCGGCATTGATCACATCGTCCACATCCACATCAGTTTTGTTGTACTTTTTCGCCACGTCCCGCACGTAATAGTACATTTCCCAATCGGGTTGTTTACGTTGATTGGTTTCGAGTTGGGTGGTTAGTAGGTGACGGTATTCTTTGGCAGTTTTGTTGCGGTAGTCTGTCCAGTCGAGGAGGTTGTAGATGTATGCTTGGAGTTGGAGGATGTGTAGTATTTCAGAAATCGATTCTAATTTTCGGAATCCTGTTTTTATTGATCAAAATAAAAGAGTTAGTGTATTTGGAACTGATTGAAGTAAATGATCTATTTTTATTCATGCATGCATACCAATTAAAGCTCTATCAAGCGGGGCAAGCATATCTTGATATGCTATGGAAGGCTCCCGATTTGCTATTGTTATAAAAAAGTTACAAATTTTACTCGAATACAATCATATCAATAGAGTATTTATTTTTCACACCTTTCTTATCCTCTGTCAAACATGCTATAAGGGACTGCGCGTAAGCAAACTGAGCAACAGATTGTAGATACAAAGAATGTTCAGCAAGTACCTGATAAAGTCAGAAATGGAAGCAATTAAACAATCCATTAATAACACGGTGACGATGTATTAAGGAGGCAAGCATCAAAATTACCATCGGTAATATTTTCTCAATTATGCTTTTTGACCTTCTGGCCAGATTAAAATGCAACAGTATTTGAGCTAGACGAATATTCGCTAGCAAATAACTGCTCTGGTAATTAAAGCGTTCGCTTAGACACAACGAACTTAGCACAAACGGAAGTGCTGATGTCGGGTCGTCGCTTTTCTACTTCACCAAAATGAGAAATAAATATTTAGGATGCTAAGACAAATTATTGGTGCTGCTGAAATAAGAACCCAAAGAAATACAGACCATTCTAATCTCTGCAAGTTTGAGCGCATAAATAGTGACGAGCATTTGATTGGGAGAATGAGATCGCGAGCTATCGTCTATTAATCCATAAAGGATATCTACTGCCTAAGAGACAAAAAAATAACACAGGTAGATGAACAAAATTATTCATGCTTATATAATAATGACTTTAAAACTTTTAGTTACCTCATCTTCACGATTTAACTTGCTCAATGCTAATGCACAATGGTATTTGAAGTCCGAGTATAGTACTTCGTCATCTTGACAAATTGCTCCAAATTGAGCCTCATTTACTTCGATGTTTGCCCATTCACCTCTAAAACACACACGTGTGGTATAAATATATAAAAATCAAGCCGCACATACAAGCACACATTCTAGTTAATGAACTAACCTTTCGGTGCTCCGCTGATGCAGAACTTTACCCATGCAAGCAGCCCAAAGTGAAGCAGAAGTCCTAATTTCGAGAAATTTCTCCTTCGATTCTGAAAGTAATTTTATTGCTTCATCGTAATTGCCATGCGAGATATGCTATATATGTTTCTGATAGAAATTAACAAACAATAAAAGTTGATAATGGCCATATAAATAATAGATAAGTACGTACACGATCAGCCAATTGACAATACGCTATCACCGTATCCTCAAGATTTCCTTTTGGATTGTTTATCACTTGAGAAGTATACAGTGTGGATAACGTCGAAAACCCTAAGCCCCATCAATAGACATTACAATTCATTCTTCTTTCACATTTTAAAGCATCTTAAACCAATAATTACCGTATGTCTCATAAACACTAGCATTCAAAAGTTTTTCCTGTCCATACATGCTCTTTGATGAATTTTTGGAGCCTTTAATAGCTTTCATATTCAAGGCAGAGCTTCGAAGCAACGATTCATAGACAAGAGTCGGTGATTCGCCCTAAATAAGTGATTTAATACTCGCATTTGTTACCATTATAATCGGGTTAGAAAAATTTCTGTTCAAGATTTCTTCAAACAAACCTGCTGCAAGATTCGTTGTGCTTTACCAAGCTCGCCTAAAGATTGCAAGCAGAACGAATTCGACTCCTTTGCATTGGTGATTAATGATTCGAGCATCTGCTGTTCGGACGCGCCTATTCGTGCTGTACCGACTGAATCAATTGATTTTAAGCGATATAGCCAGCTATATATTCGAGTAAGAAGGTTATGATGAGAGATAACAAAAAAAAATAGAATCCGGTTTTTTTGTATCATACCTAAGAGCAAACCGTAAACACTCTTGATCATTATTCTCGCGTGCCATACGTATAGCTTCCGAGATGGCCTTCATTTTGAGTAAAAGAAAAATTAGATATTGACCAAAAGAATACACGTGTGTAAAATGCCATAAATTGAGTTAAAACTACCAAAAGTGCTTGATTCTTATGACCAAATTTCGCATGAAGCACAACCAGATTCAAAAGAACATGTTGATACCAATTCCTTTATATCATCAAGGTATAAAGAGAAGTAATGAGGATCTAATTAGAATCACATGTCCAAATCCAAGAAGAAACCAATAGATTACAGAATTGACTAATAGTAAGCTTTAAATATTGCTTGTACGCGCTCTAGGTTCACATACACACCTATTTTGCTCGTCTTCCGGACAGAAATTAGAAAACTTGTAAAAACTTCGTATGGCTCCTTCGTATTCGCCTAGTTGCATGCAATTTAAATAACTATAATAAATTTATAAGTAGAGGTCAAGCGTAAGAATGATCTTTTTGAAGATTTCGTTAACTTACTCTATGTAATACACTATTGAGACTTCTGGCAATCGCTCGTGCATTTCTCGTATACGAATTTCAAGTTCGACAGGTAGTACACCACCATATTCTATGGTGATATCAATTTAATTATTCGATCAATAAATCAAAAAATTCAACTAAACAACAATAATCTCGTAGAGAAAAAGATCACAGACTTCGAAGCTGGTCGATCAAATAGAGTGAAAACTTTTCAGCGTCAGATTTAGCAATAATCACTAACAAATAAAGAGTAAGTTGCGATCTGGCAACAATAAAAAACATTTCGGCAATAATGATGAAAAGATAAAGCACCTTGTTTGTGTGTATGATATTTTTCTATTAGGCCAGATAACACATCATTCTCGGACGCGGATGATTGAGACGGTACAACTTGTTGTGATGCAACAGATTTGTAATCGCGAAACGCTTGCCATAATTTACCGAGTTCATTGAAAGTTAACTTATTTCCTTCTAGATGACAGCGTCGCACAAAAAATCCCAAAGGACTATATCTACACTAAAGAAAAAATTAACAAGATAATTAAATGTAAAAATTTGGGTGGACTTTAGATGCTGTTCAAATTACAATCGAACAATAAATTTTTGAACCAAGCTCAAAATAATGAATTTAATTCTAATTAAAACGCGCGTATAAAAATTTACGCCCAAAAGATTACATTCGCAATTCAAAAAATAAAAAATCCATACCAATTTTTTAATGCTAGGCTAATAAATAATAAGAATATAATAAATTAATCAATATACCTTTCAATGAGTCAAACAAAAAAATCAACTATAGTATACAGACTCACATCTATCATCCCAGAAGGTGCTATCATATTCTTCGACGCTGCACAGTATCAACTTAACATTGATAAATAATTCGCGGTACTCAGTTATCACCCAAAACTTAAAAGCAATAAATAATGTATAGATTCTACCTTTTAAAAAATCGATCAAATCGTGCGGCGAGCATAAATTCACTATTAACTAATTTTTCACCATTAGTTCGGACATTCGCGCACAAAGATCTGATTTGAAACCGATATAAAAAATCGGGAACAATACAACACCTCTTTTAACCAGTGATCTTTGATCGATTTGCCTTCAAGCGGCACTTCATTTTTCAACTCTTCGCAAAACTCAAGTAGACTTGGTTCCGGAAATCGAGATTCATTCTATTTATGAAGTTTGCCATTAAATCATTGTTTTCATTAAGAACTATTCATCGATTTCCTCCTTAAAGATATAGCGAGTAAAAATAAAATACCGAGATTTTATCAGTTAAAAAGAACAATAATTCTTCGTCAAACTCTTCTTTCTTTGAATTAAAGTAATACTTTATTAACCCTAGCAGGGTAATTTTGTGTGGTGTGAGATATGTCGTTTTCGCGACGTTAGTAGTTCTTGAAGATTCTAATTGAAATGACGACGACATTCGAATTCAAACTCTAAAAATTTACGTTATATTTTATTAGTACATGGTGCAAAAAAATCATGAAATTATTCATTCAATTTAAAAAACCAACATTAAAAATGCTATTAATCAACTTTGAAAAAATACAAAAAGTAGTCGAGGAACCAAATTTTTTTTTGTTTTCCGTGTTATCAAAGCATGACTTTCACGTGACTGAAAAATTTACAAAGGTAAAGTTTGGATAATCGATGAACTTTCATTTTCGCTTCTTCGTCCTTTAAAGGTAAATTTTTAGAATTTTGTTTTGCATATCAATTTGTTTCCGCGCGATGAATTGAGATAGAAAGCTCTTCAAAAGACGAATTGGATGTATACTGTAAACCAGTAGATATCAAATTATCGAGAATGTAAAACGCATGGTTCGAGATTTTACAATAGGAAATTTTTTTAAGTAATTAATTGTATTTCATTTTTGCCATTTGTTACAGAACGTTCTTAAATAAACAAAAAGTGCCTGAACTCTAGTAGTCATGGGTGGTATGTATTCCACTACTTTATAATCGCATGTTTCCCCAATAAAAACATTGTTGTGAAATTGTACATAATCGTTCATCAAACTTCAGCATATAAATATCTCGAGGAACTCTACAAGAAGAAGCAGTCTGATGTCCTTCGCTTCTTGCTCCGTGTGAGATGCTGGGAATACAGGTACCGTATTCAGCCGCCACAATATTGCTAAATCAATAATAGCATCGTGCGCGTGCAACATGAATACATTTCTATATTATTAGGCATGAAATTGTTTTTTGTTCCCTAAATGGCTGGATGGGTCGATCGATCGATGGCCGAAAGTCATGGAATGCGAGAAAATGAGGGAACATTAACATTTCATTTGCCAATGAACCAACGATGTATATGAAAAATGCACTCACACACATCCTCCGGCCGCCGACGATATTCGGTACGGTATTTTTTCTCCTCATTATATATGAAATGTTGTGTAGACAATTGAATATTATCCATCGAGCATCACGCCCATCTCGCCCTGATAAAGCGCGTAGATTGGGTTATAAGGTATTTATAATATTTCTGGATCTGCAATATTTTCACATACTTTCCGGTTTGTTTGTTATTTACGTTATTTTACACATCTCCGATTTTCAAAAAAAGGCTAAACAAGGATTCGTTATCTACCGCATTCGTGTAAGACGTGGTGGCCGAAAGAGACCTGTACCAAAAGGTGCCACTTACGGTAAACCCGTCAATCAAGGTATCAATCAACTAAAGTACCAGCGTGCGCTCAAGACTATCGCAGAAGAACGAGTTGGACGTAAATGCTCCAACTTGCGTGTATTGAATTCGTATTGGGTAAACCAGGTACGTTACAACAATAACTTCATGATATAATGCATAATCATTTCTCTATGAATTTTATAAAAAAATGTTTGGTGCTCGTATAATTTAAATCTACCAGGACTCCACATACAAATACTACGAAGTAATTCTCGTCGACCCGAACCACAAAGTTATTCGTCGAGACCCACGAATCAGCTGGATTGCCACCAGCACACATAAACATCGTGAAGCACGTGGTCTCACGAGTATTGGTAGGAAGAGTCGTGGGATTGGCAAAGGACATGGGTATAATAAGACAAAAGGTGGTGGTCGCTATGCTAACTGGCATCGTCGGAACACGCTCTCACTTCGTCGATATCGTTAGAACCGTTCTAAATAATATATTCATTCCGGCATATTTTGACGCTGTATTAATATCATCTTTAATATTACTATTAAAAAGACAACTGCACAAACAGTGGTTTTAATAATCGAATTATATTATTAAAAAAAATGAATTATTTATCAGATAAATATAAGTAACACTCTAAATCCAAAATTTTTTGATATATTAACAAAACAAGAAATGAGCTTGATAATAAAAACGGTCAATAATCGAATGCATTCATTTGTTTGATTTGATTAACTTGAAAAATCGCGTGTAACTAATATCTAAATTAACAAAGTACATGTACCTAATAATACACTTTATTACACGTGATATCTTTCTGCTAATCCAATACGTTGAACTACATGTTTTGGCAGACAATAAACGGGATCAACTGGTTTTAATCCTGGGTATCCGAGTAATGACAGCCCTATCATGAAATATAAAAACAATTATAAAAAATGAAAAATTGAATAAACAAATAGTAAGCAAGATAGAAAAACCTGCAATCCCAAATAACGTATGAAACACATCAACCACGTCTCCTGGACGATCAGCAATTCCTCCGGATTCGGGATCCTTTATACATTATCCACCATACAATGATTAACTTATTCAATTCAAAATAAAACTAAATTGATCTTTTTTTTAATTTACCTGAGCAGCCAACACAAACTCTATTAATTTGTCTTTATTTATCCAGTGCAATCGTCCCAAGATACTAAGTGCCGATAGAACCCACCAAGAATAACATACCTATATACAAAAGTATATGAAATTCATTTCACACATGTAAACAGACTTCCCCTTCTCAATTGAAAAAATCTTACATCTTCCAATTTTTCAGGTCGGCCATTCAACCCCCCATTCTTTAACTGTCTTTCGCATAACCACCATCCAAGTAAATCAGCATCAACCAAATGCAAAGAATTGACAATAGCGAGAGCACCGACACAACAGAATACTATTAAAAAATTCTTTGTTCGTTAACAAAATATTCTTCAAGAATTAACACAAACGAAAATAGAACAAAAAGCACAAACTTTGTCCAGCATGTGATTCGGCTCCAGGCGTACTACCAAACCCACCATCAAAATTCTTACATTTCATTATGAAATCAATGGCTTTATTCACGTCTACCGCGTCCAAACGTTTCAGTAACGACAGACACGATAATGCCGAATACGAAAATCGTGTATCGATTTCGCCCCATTCGTCGCCGGCGAATGAACCAGTGGTGGGATCTTGGAGTGAAGAAACATCTATGAATACCGTGTATCCAAAAAAATAATGATTATTGTCACCATCATAATAACGTGTAAATAAAATTATTTTGATTTCTTTTATAGTATAAGGTTCAAGAGACAATATATACAATATTACATTCTACAATCTTCTCTATATCGACAGCATCGATCGCGTCCTCTATCACGAGAATTTGAACCGCGTATAATGTATATAATATATGTGGATCATGTCGAAGATGTGCACCGAATCCGCCTTTTTTTTCAAATACAAATTTTTTATTAAATTCTTTTGTTAAAGCAAAGCAGCATAATATTTGAAACGGTGAGGTCCAATGAAACTACCATTCTCGTGCTGACAAGAAACCACATACTTCACCACTTCTTCTCTATCTAACGCATCGACATTATTCAGCAGGTCTAACGCCGTTAAGCCCCAATAGACTCCACTGAGTCGTAAGTGTTCTGTGAGCCAGTATTCGAGGTCGTCGCGTCGCTGTATATAACAAAACACATTTTGATTTCGTGCACTTTGTTTGAATTTGATCATGCATTATTGATTTTACCGTGTCCAAAGATTTTATGTATGCCACGTGAAGCTCTGATAATAATTCTTGAGACTTTTCTGTTGAAGACATTATTATTGCTATTTCGAAGAATTGATGCTAGAACGAAACGAAAATTAAAGTAGCGAAGATTTGGTGTCTTACCGTTACCATTTGTGTCACTATTAAAAAACGTGACTTGGAAAAAATCAAAAAAAGTTTTCCCCAATATTTTTTTCGGATATTTTTTCCAAGTCCATCCATTTAATCATGAGGTATATAGACAGTCTTTTTATTGCTTGCATGTAGAGTCTACGTATATGCTATTTACATTTCATACAATGAGTTATATTCTCTATAAAATAGTAAAGTTCAAGTGCCAGCCGTGAGAGAATCTATTAGAAATGTGCTCACTGCCTCTGCAGAACAAAATCGGAAGTTTAAAGAAACTATAGAATTACAAATTGGGTTGAAGAATTATGACCCGCAGAGAGATAAACGTTTCAGCGGGACTGTAAAGTAATGTCCTTTTCGTTTGTTTTGATTTTTTATGTCTTAATAGAGATTCTACTGCTTCACTCCAATATTCCGATAGCTGTAAATCGATATTAATTATGATTCGGAATAATTGATATTGATCATTATAATGATGATAATGACAGACTTCCAAATATTCCTCGTCCAAAAATGTCTGTCGCCATTCTCGGTGATGCGCACGACTGTGATCGTGCCAAAGAAGTCGGCCTTGAATTTATGTCGGTCGAAGATTTAAAAAAACTAAACAAGAATAAGAAACAGATTAAAAAACTTGCGAAAAAGTATGATGCATTCTTGGCGTCCGAGTCGTTGATCAAGCAGATTCCTAGACTTTTGGGTCCTGGATTGCATAAAGGTATCTTATTTATTTATCATTATGTATGAATCAGAGAATACGAATTCGGCATCATTAATCATGTATATTAAATAGCCGGAAAATTTCCAACCCCGGTAACCCACAACGACGACCTAAAAGCTAAAGCCGACGAACTACGCTCCACCATAAAATTCCAACTGAAAAAAGTCTTATGTCTTGGCGTAGCAGTCGGACACGTGGAGATGACTGAAGATGAACTGGTCGCAAATATCATGTTGAGCATCAACTTTTTGGTGTCGTTGCTTAAAAAGAATTGGCAGAATGTGAAAAGTTTATATATTAAATCCACAATGGGCAAGCCTGAGCGCCTATACTGAAGTTTGAGATTTGTTAATGATTTCGTTGCTGCTTTAATCTCCTCATTATTATTTAAGTTTTTCGGTTAACTATTTTTATAGTCTAGTTATTTCTTTTATACATTAACTCTCTCAAACGGCGTATTACCAAAGTGCCATCATCATTATTGTAACACTTTATATTAGTGTATGTGGTATCTATTGGGAGCTTATTAACTTGCTCAACAGTGGATGGAAAAAATAAAAAACTTTATTCGAACAAGATACTATTCTCTTAGTAATTAAATAATCTTTGGCGGTAAACAAAAAGGAAATTACCCAAAACGTTTTCCACCGATTATATGATTCAAAGGAAAGTCAACTTATCGGGAAATTATTTTTCTGGGGGAAACTTTACTTTGTTATACCCATTGAAGTTTCTCATCAATTTGAAAATTTCTTTTCAATCATTATTGGCATTACTATTACTATCGATTTGGTAACTGTTCACAGTGATTGCAAGTAAAGATCATTTCTAGCAATAGTTATCTTGAATCTTTTTTTTATTATTAGATTAGATTTTGATTGCTAAATAGGATACACATACCAACATCCAAATCAAAAGCATTCAAACATCAATTATAATTACATTATGATTTGCTAGTAGCGATCGGAGCTATGGGATCGGCGGTCGCAGTTTTATAAAATAAAAATGACTCACTGAAATACAATTGGTTAAATGACTGTCACTGAATTCGAAACTCAAAATCACATGACACCAGTAAAAAATTTACTTTATTCCATTGAAAATATGAATGAACAAGAAATTCCAATTCTGTCGTTGGTTCCCTCTGAAAAATCACCTAATAAAAAAAGAAAAAGAAAACGAGAACAACTAGAAGAAGTCGTATTTGATGAATCGGCGCGAAAGTAATTTTTAACATTATTCTTTCCGGGTGAAATGCGGTTTGAGTATACGTATAAGCCTGATTACTATGTTTTGTCAAATAGAGAATTTCTAACTGGCTTTCACAAACGAAAACTGGAACGTCGTGCCAAAGCGCAAGAATACGCTAAACAACAAGCGAAAAAGGAGCACGTGCAGGCTGTTAAAGAGGTATTGTTTGATTTAGCGGACACGAGTAGAACAAACAATTTGCATCATATAATGATATAATATGTTATCGGGACATATATTCAGCAACGGGAAGCACGTCAAAAAGAAACAAAAGAACGACTAGAAAAACTTCAATCGATAATTGACAGTACGTGATAATTTTTGCGATTAAGCTATTCTCAATATTTTTACGTAAGATTAATTAATATTATCTTTTTATTGTGCGAAAGAAACTTATGGAGTGAAAAAAGAAAGTGGAGATGAAGATGGAGAAAAAGGAGAAGATACATTCGATAGTAGTTCGGAAGATATTACTAATGACAATTTTGAAGAAGAAATATGGAATAATAGACAAAAAGGGAATAAAAAAGAGTCAAATAATAACAATAGTGATAGCAAACTAAAATCAAAAGACCAATCACTATCTGATATGAAAGAGTATAGGACTCGTGACACCTTGACTACAGTCACAATTGTTGAGGACTTTAAAATATCGAATGTTAATGACAACGATAGCAACATTAACAGTAATAATCATAAATATAGTCACCATAATCGTAGTAATAAACATAATGGTAACAATATTCAGAAGTCTAACAAGTCTAATAAAAAGTTTAGAAAAAGAAAGTAATAAAAAATATCTTGATCTGAGCAATAATAGCATTTGATGTGTATTTCATGATCTATCATTAACAATTTTGATAATTCAAATTAATTGGTTTAGCATTATTTAATAAAAATAAATTATATCGACCGATATATACAAAAAGTTAATGTTCAGTTTGGATTATCGCGTGACATCGGACGTATGATTATAATAGACTAGCCGTCCTCGAAACTATTGGCAAACAAGACTTTCCTACTTGTGCTAGATTTTCTAAGTGATGATCGTAATTCTGTCGAATCTCCACGATATCCACCATGATTACTACTCCAAATTCCTCCCAATCCATTATCACCATCGCTTCTCGTTCTTCTGTTGCTGGTAGCAAGTTTCACAGAACTGAAACCTCGTCCCCAATATTTTTCCCCTGCAGCATCAAGAGTAGTTATGAGCTTATCGACAATTTTAGATGGGTTTTCCATAAAACTGTTATTACTGGAATGGGTGGAAGAAAATGGCATTGTCAAAAGATTAATATTATTATTTCGCCGTCTGTTTTTCTGATAATGAGAAATTGGAACGGGAGATGGTTGTGTTATTGTTGATGATATAGAGGTATCGAGTGTAGTAATAGGATTTTTAGCTAGTGTAGTGCCATTATTTGTTCTATGTGGAGGAAAATATGATAATTGTGCTGATGACAATTCTTGTATTTCAGCACTCGTAAAACCTAAATTTGTCGCTGTCGATGATAATGATTTTGATGTTGATGCCAAACCACCACCACCACCACCACCTCCTCCTTCTCCTCCTCCTCCTCCTCCAACTCCACCAACTCCACCACCGTGACTAATAAGGAAATTTGAAGATGTCGGTGAACTAGCTACAGATGATGTCGACCATATAGTAGCTGTTGACACATTAGACAATTTACGATCATGACAGAATTCATGTGTTTGATGTGGCATCAATATTTCACGATCATAATAAGTAAAAGGACTATTAGAAGGCGAAGATGAGGGGGAAGACATTGAAGGTCTCGAGGAATCAGATGTAGATGATGATGAATGATAGTTATTATTATTGTTCTTTGAAATGTGGATTCGATCATCCTCCAATATCACTGTTGTTCTTCGTTCATTATCATCATCGAATTTACATTCGTCAAGTGGTATATAAAGATATTTGTGCATATGAATAGAATCGTTTGTCCAAAGCTTATTGGTTTTCTTTAGTAATGATACCTTAAATAAATATATACAGGAAAAGTTGCGTTAATTATTTAGAAACATATAAATAAAAATTAAACTTGTCCACCAACCTCAATTCCGTAAAATAGAGCAATTCCAGCCAAAGTATCTGTTTTCTTAACTTCATGTACAATAACAGTTTTACGCTCTAGTTCTCTTTTAGGTCGACATTCTTTTGCTACTGCTGCTGCTGACCCTGCCTTTACACTCCTTTTACGTTGAATATCTTCATTTAAGCCATCAGTCAAACTAATATCCAGCAGACTACGTCGATTTCTTAATAGTGATGATGATGAAGCTGCCGCCAATTTCAATGGATCTTGATCACTGTCAAGAGAAGCATACGCACGTCTTTGACGAATATTTGATTCATTTTCTTTGTCAGAAATATGATTAATGTTTTTATTATTAAAAAATGTTGGTGTCATGGGCGATGTGCTTAATTCGTGACTGAGCGGATGTGAGTTGGTCGGAATTAGCGCTGGTTTCGAAGGAAAGGTGTTTTGCTGCTCATGGAAGGATGAATTTGTGGTGTGTGTAGTTTGTGATCTATAATTATTTGTCTCAGAAGGATTATCAATGCTAAACACACTAGATTGACTGAACAGAAACTGGGGACTGGAAGACAATAATAACGCAGAAGACGTAGTAGTTGTAGTAGTATCTAATGAAACATTCATATCTGTATTTTCTATTTCTTATTATCTCTAGGTGTTGTTTAAAGGCTTAGCAAAAACTCGAAGAATGTTCTGGTTGCCCAGATGGCGGCGACCACTTTCACTATTGA